ATATTATCAACAAGGCTAGTGTGAACTTCAAGGAATGCAGAGTTAATCCTGACTGAGAGACAGCCACTTGTAAAAACCGGTGCCCTGAGTTCTTGAGCAAACCCTCACAAAATCAGTATAAAGCAAGCCTCACCCTTCCTCAGTGCAGACGAACATGCCCATCATTTTCACTGCTTCCCTCAGCAGTGCATCCAAGAAGCTGCTTTTTTGCCCCCCCGCCCTCTGTCTTTGGTGAATCCTTCTACCCCCACATCCCCAGCTGCCATCTCACTCCCCTGCGACAAGAACTCTGAAAGGAGGCCTCCATATTTGCTCACATCCTCCATCACTCCAGTCCAAGTCCAGATCTCTCTTGCTTGGATATACCTTCAGGCTTATATTTACTGTCACCTGTGGGACTTGGGTGGGGGAGGGGAGAGGGTTTCTTACTGAGATGCTGTCTAGTGGTTAGCCCTTGTTATAAGGAATCCAGTCAGGAGGCTGCTGGCAGAGCCACAGCCAAAGTGAGTCCTGCCAAACCAAGAATTGTGCACTTACCTACCCACTCTATACCTGGAACGAGCAAAGAACAGTCCTGCAAGGTGATGTGGGCAGGGGCCTGAGGCTAAGGAGACTCCCCTGGTGCCCAGCACATTGGCCCTTACAAATGTTGAATTTCCTTGTGAGCCCAGATGGTCCCTCTTCTGGATCTGTCCTTGTTTTCTCCACATCTCACTATAAATCAGGGGTGTGCACCGGGGCTGCCATGTTGTTCCTGATGACAGTCAGCAGCAACCAGCCCAGGAAGGTGAAAACTGAGTCGATCACATTCTCCTCTGGGGTTTTTGATGGTGGGTTTAGAGAGAGAGAGTCAGTCTCCCTAGTGGTGGAAGTGGGAGTATCGACAGCATTTCTCCATCCTGGCCCCAGCTCAACTTCCACCTCTCCCTCCTCCCTGCCTATCCTAGTCACACGGGTCTCCTGGCTATTTCTTGAGTACCAAGTGCATACTGGCCACAGGGCTTTGCTCTTGTTGATGTGTTCAAGTTGCCTGGCCAGCTTGCCTTCCCTTGTGTCTTATTCCCTCGGCTTCAGGTCTCTGCCCAAATGTCATTTTCTCACGAGGCCTTCCTTGGCCATTTTATGTGAAATTGAAGCCCCACTCCAATATTGTGGCCTTCCATACCCCAGTCACCCCCTGATACACTCTGTTCTTATATTCTATATTCCCACGGAAAGAAAGGGTATGTTCATTGCTGTATCCCTGTTGCATGAATATCTGTTGCATGAATAAGTGAATAACTTCATATCAGATCTCATCAAAGGTAACAAAGCTGACACAGTGATCAGAGGGGAAAGACATAACACAGTATTGCAATGTTGGGATCCTATCTCCAGTTTTTCCAGAAGCTGGGTTGCACCTCCACCACTTGGCTTTGCCTTTGATTATGGTGGTGTCCCTGAATTCTCCAGTATTCTTCCCCTTTGGCCTAAGTTAATTTTTACTGAGTTTTTGTTTCATGCCACCTGATACCCCAATGCAAACTTTCCCATCTTTGCCTGTTGAGTAAATTCTGGCAAGTGAATATTTGACATAGGCTCAATCAGAATCCAGAGAAGAGGGGAATGGCTTCCAGCTTGCAAAGATTAAGAAAGCAAAGCCCACTAACAATGGGATTGGACAGAGGTTTCCAGAGGAGGAGCTGGGTTTGGAAGGATACAAAGGACCTAGCTTAGCAGAGAGTATTGGGCAGAATATTCAGACTGGCAAGCAGTGTGAGCAAAAATGGAGGCTGCTAAGGTGGGCTGAGCAAGGCACTGGGAGCTGACCCCCTGAAGTGGAGGTTCACCCTGGGACATGGTGGAGGGGTATGTTCAGAAGGGTGGCACAAGGGCCTCAGTAAATAGCAAAGATATTTCTTTGGGGCAGCAGAAATGACAGCAAAAATGACAGCGGAGGATGTAGCACATAAAGGACAGGACAGAGGTGAGCATGAGAACAATAAGTCTGGTCTGCTCAGACTCAGGTACTGGGGGCTGAAGTAAGTTCCGCTAAGGGTTTTGAAAAGCATGTTGATGGTGAGGGCAGGATGTACACTGGAATGAAAGTAACAGGGCTTCTGGATCACACAAACCCAGTGTGAATCGTGGCTTTGTCACTTATTGGTGATGTGACCATGAATATAAAAATTTACCCCCTGAGTTTCAGTTTCCTGATCTAGGGAAGGGGCACAATCATAACCAACCTTATGGGGTCAGTGGGAAGATGAGACAGATCTCAAAGCATCTTGTTTGATGCCTGGTACTGGGATAAAGTTTAGATATTATGAGTCCAATGCCACCTTCTCCTGAGAGGCCCTCTTGATTTACATTACTAGCTATGGAGTTCTTCTGCTTCACCTCCCTGAAAAGTTAGAAGATACAGTAGGATATAGTGGTGTGCTTCAATAGTCCATATCTGGAAGGGATCCAGGACAGGGGAGAGGGCCGACCTGTGCAGAGGACATCCTTGGGTGTCTACCACAGTCAGATTTCCTTAATGTTTCTCACCCAGCAGTCTACATCACCCCACATGCTTTGCCTCCTGCTGTCTCAGGAAAATGGGAGTCATAGGTGAGATGTGCAGTCAGCTTGGGAAAAGATGGTTAAGGAAAACGAGGAGCAGTGACATGCAAGATGCAAGATGCTGGAATCCCAGGGGGGTTCTGCTGGGAATTCTGTAGGCTGCCCTGCTCAAGGAACCAGGTGCCTCTGCCCATGCCTGCCCACCCATTTTAGGGGATAGCATCAAATCCCCCAGCACTAACTTGCTGGGTGACCCTGGAAGGCCACACTTCTCTGGTCCTCAGTTCCTGCACCCAGGACTGGGCTGGATGAGATGAGCCCTCTGTCACCTAATGGGCTCTGAGAGCCGTGGAATACTCCCACCATCTGGGGGTGTGCACAGGCTCCTGCTTTTGTGGGCTAAAGGCAGAAGAGAGGAGCTGAATATCAGAAACTAGAGACCCCCAAACTGGAGTGGGCCCCAGGCTCAGGTCTTGGGCAGGGCCTCTGCTACCTTCTTCCATATTGTATTTCTGGAGACTTGGGGGCCCTTGATGGGGAAGCTGCTTAAGACTAGGCTGTAGAGTAGGCAGCCAGTTGCCAGGGAAGCTCTGGTTTCTATGAAGAAAGCAGGCTGGGGGAGGGGAGGGTATGTGTAGTACGGAGAGAACCACTGCGTGAGGGAGGGTCTCCATGGACCCACCCAAACAACCAGGCACAGGCCTGGTTGTCCGTCAATCCTGTGTTTTCTGCCCTATGATCTCTTTGACCTTGAAAATGCCTCTTGCCCCTCACTTCTGTAGCTTAATACCTTCAAAGGGAAGGTGCTTTTTGGGAAGCTGAGGGAGAAGCCTGGAAGCTGAGGGGCCCAGGGAACACAGCAGGAGGGTAGGAGGGAGCTGCCAGGCCCATCTCTCTGCTGGCTCCCCTCCCAATGCATGGCTTGTAGCCCCTCTCCCCGGTAACCTGGAGGCTGGCAGGCAGTGAATAGCCACCCTCTGGCTGCCCCCCGACCATACCATTCAAACAGCCAAGGGGGGAAGGTGAGAGCCACGAGTCCACAGAGGCAGTTAAACTCTCCCCCTGTATCCACCCAGCGCCCCCTGTACCTCCAGAGGGCTCCAAGGAGACAGGCTGGAGTGAGGCCACTGGAAGGCTTCAGAGCTACAGGCGGCCTCTGCGTGGCTCCCCCCTCCCTCTTCCCAGCCCAGTTGCCATCCCTACCCTCTGGCTGTCCCCTCCTCCAAGGCAGGGCCCAAACTCTTCCAGACAAGGTCAGGTCTAGGTGGAGAGTGAGAGTGGCCCACCCTGTCTGTCCTGGTTAAGGGGCACTCAGAGGGGGTTGAGGTCACGGGCCTCCCTTGGACATCTGAGAAGACCTCTCCACCCAGCTCGGACTGCTGAGGGCTCATTCTGAGGTCAGCACTTGCGGGACTGCAGGAGAAAGCTTGGTGAGGAGAGCAGGGGCCAGACCCTTGCTGGGGTCCTCTGGGGAGGATGTGAGTATGTGCTTAGGTGGGAAGTCCCTCTGCTTTTGTAGAGTGGAAACAAGGCCCAGTGAGGGGCAGTGGCTAGCCCAAGGCCACACAGGAAGATGCTTAAGGTACCAGGTGCCTCTGCCCATGCCTGCCCACATGCTTTAGGGGATAGCATCAAATCCCCCAGCACTAGCTTGCTGGGTGACCCTATGTGTTCTGAGGTCAGCCTCCTCTGCTCAGAGGCTCTGTTCTCTGAGAGAGGAAAGAAGGCTCTAGACTGAGCTTGCAGAGATACTCCAGAGCAAGGCCTTGGGCTCCAGAGAGCAGGGCGAGGCTACCTTTACCCTAGCCTTGGTCTGGTGGAGGCCTCCCTTCCCTACAACCAGCCAGCTTTTGCTTTGCTGGCTGGTAAGAGGTGGAGGCCAAGAAGTCTGGCTGCTGGAGTTGCTGTGTTCCAGAGGGTGGCTTGATGTTTTTAAGCGCTTTGGAATCACTTGCTTCCAAGGGAACTGCTCAGATGCTAATTATAGCCACTTATCTTTTTATTAATGTGTGTCCCTAAGGACTGAAGCCTAGACCTGGTTTGCTATCCCAATAGGGTCTCCAGGTCCATGTGAAAGTACTGAAATAACATGGGACTAGTAGGACTGAGACATCTCCCATTTCAAACTGTCCTTTTCTTACTCCCAGCAAAACCCTGCCCAGGGGAGGAGAGAGGGACAGTTATTTCTCTCCCTCTGGGAACCCCCCAATCTTCCTCTGGGCTCAGATTCAAGGAAGGGCCAACTCACATATGGCTGCCTGGCCAGAGCACTCTCTAGGCCTGATGCCTGGAAGGCGGAGGCCCTGGGCAGCAAGACGGGCATCAAAGTTTCCAGTGGGAACTGGGAGGGTGGTGCTCTGTCTGGGAATGCTGAAAGGAGTGGTGGTAGGGAGCGGGTGGGAGGTGGCACGGGGCGCACTACATACCCTCAGTTGGCTGGGCACAGGGAGCCGAGAGTCAAATCCTGCAGCTGTTGGTGAGTACCTGGGTGGGCTCAGGGGCACGGGAGGTGGGGTTGGGTGGTCACTCTCCAGCCCCCCACTACTTGCTGACATGGACTCTCTGTCGCCCTCAGACAGAGCCTTGGCATGACTTACAGCCCTTCCTTCTGCCGGGTGTTAGTGCTAGAAACTCGGCTGTGCATTAGACGAAGCTACCGGCTGGGACTAAAGGAAGAGACCTCTGCTACCCCCCAGTCTCATGAGGTCTCCAATGTCAAAGCAAAAATGATTGTTTTTTTTTAAATCAGACCCGACCCTCTTTTAAATACCCTATGCTGTGTTTATGGAGATTAAAAGATTAAAGACCACAAATGCTGTCCAGCAAACTGAACGTAGCCTGCTCACTGTATGTTTTGTTTGGCCTTTTGTAGCGTGTTAAATATTTGAAAATTCATATCAAAATATTTTGGAATCTAGGTTGGCCTTTGCAATTTTTTTTTTTCTCTCTCTCTCATCTTAACCAAATTTTTACTGGTTGTCAACATCTAAATATCAGGAAAGTTTGCCTAAAAATCCAGATTTCTGCCTTCTCTCAGGAAACTGGAAGAGCAGACCACATGGGCCTGCAACTCCGGTCTGGTAATGGCCTGGCTGGGACACCACTGCACGCTTTGGAGGGCACTGGCTGCTCTCTTCGGGTAGACCTGCCCACCCGTCCTCTTTGGTCATGTGTTATCATCCTGCCAGGCTGTGCAAACATATTAGTCTGCAGCCCTGGACCAATGCAACCAAAAACTCAACCTGACTTTCCATCTCTGAGGGCCATCTGCGGTGCTCCCTCTACTGGGGTGACCGCAAGTACTACAGGGGACTGGAGTCTGGGGTGTTGGTGCTCCCCAGGGATAACTCTCTATGGGCTATTTCCAATATGTTCTCGGAGCAAGTAAGCGAGCCTAGAGTGAAGATTGGAGCCAGGAACCAAGAAACCTGTTTCTTGGCTTTGAATGGCCACTGACTCAGTTGACCCTTGTTTGGGCCTTGATTTCCTCACTGGCCACAGAGCAGGAAGAAGATATAAGATGTGCAGGGGGCTTATGGGGGAGCACAGCAAGCTAAGGGCTGGCTGCTCAGTCCCAGCTGCTGGGCGCCAGGCAGCATATGACCCTGTGTGGCTGGTGCTGACATTTTGAAATTTCAAGAGAAGCCAGACAACCAGCATTGACATGCAGTCCCTTGTTTTTTGTTTGTATTCAGTAAGACTTACAATTAATCAAAAATTTATCAAAATACTACAAAGACCCAACAAAAACATACAGGGGTCCCCAAGGTGCAGCCTCAGCATCAGGTAATTAGGAGAGTTCTCACCAGCTGCAACATCCTATCATCCTATAACCTAGGACTTGGTCCTGGTGGCAAACTGTTGATGGAGTTTGTCTTGGATTCTAAGTTTTCAGGCCTGAGACTATTGGAATTCATGGATTTGAGTTCAAAATTCTGTCAGTCTCTGCTGTGGCAGGTGAGCAGGAGGGTGAACAGAAAGAGTGTGTGATTTCAGGCCCACCTCCATCACTGACCTGTTGTTCTGTGACCTTAGACTTTTCACCTCTCTGAGCCTCCCTGTTCTAACATGTGCAATGGCCATAATGCCATCTGAAGCTAGTGTCACAGCACACAGCCTCTACCAACATGCCCCTCACCCCTCCCTACCCCATCCTTAGTCCAGCAGATTTGCCTCTGAGCTTCTGTCCCATTCCTATTGCAGGAACCATGAGCACAGAGGGCCCCAGCCCCTTTGCTTTCCTCACTGCTCCGGTCAGTCCAGGGAGCTCCTCAGAGATGACGGGCCACCTCCCCATACTTGTCGCCCTGGCCTGCATCTTCCTTCTGCTGGCCACCTGCCTGCTGTTCATGATGCTCTGCAAGCCGGCAGCACTGGACCCAAGCCGCCACCGGGCTCGTGAGTGCATGCCCCACCATCCCGGGAGCCCCAGTGAGCCCCAGCTCCGGCTCTGGAAGCGCCTGGGCTCCCTGCGCCGCTCCCTGCACAGCTTCCGCAGGGGCTGGTCAGCCTCTCGACACCCCCTGCCAAGCCGCAAAGACAGCCAGGACTGTGAGTGCACAGAATCCACCAAAATGTGACAGGGGTGCCCCTCCTACAAGCTGCTATTTGCAGATTCTCCTGCCTCAGACAGAGTCTGGCACTGCAGGCTGCAGGGGGTCACTGTCTAGGCAGCCTGGACCACATGCTCATCCTCAGAGTCCCTGTGTGCCCAGGTCCCTTCCCAGAGGAGGCCCCGGAGGACACCCTCCTTTTCACAGACCCTGTAGCTAGCCTGCAGGAAGATTCCCGGAATAGGCGCTGAGCACTGGCAGCCACCTGGACATGTGGCCAAGGCTCTGGGGGCACAACCTGGGGCTCCCCAGGGTCCCTCGCACCATCCACCTCTAGAAAGCAGTGCCCTGCTTCTCAACAGAAACCTGGCTGGCCCTCCAGATGCCAAAGTCCAGCTCGCATTCCAGTGCAAGTTGCCAAATGGTCAAAAACTCCTTCCAGCCAAGTGAAATACTTAGCCCACACTGGGGGCATAGTTCTGTCTATTCTCTGTGCCAACTCAGTGCCCAAGGAAACCCAGGACTCCTCTCCTTGAATTTTCTGGCCTGCCAGCATCTGCCTAGTAATCTATGGGAGCAGCAGCACCCTGGTGGTGGAGCATATCAGACCTGGGTGCTTTTGGGGGAGGAACAGCAGGGGGCTCTCCCTACCACCTAGCTGTCTCTTGGCCCCCCTTCAATGAAGCCTTCTGGATGGATAAGGAAAGGGCTGAGGATGGGCTAAGAAGCTCCTTAGAGAGGCCAGGACTGGTGCTGTGGCAGAGTGGCAGAAGGCTAGGCGCTGCCAGCACCTAGAGATGATGCCCTCTGGCCTCTGAGGGACATATCACAGATGCTCCACGCTTCACCCACGTGGGAGATGCAGACCTCCTAGGACAGCCACAGGGCCTCAGGGACCAAGACCATATAGGATGTGCTGTTTCTGACTTGCTTCATTGGTTGGCAAATGTCAAAGCAATTCCACCCCAAGAGGTGCTTCTTGCAATCTCAAACCTCTCTTCCTAAGGCCAGGCTAAACACTGATTGGACTTCAAATGTGGAATCTGGGCAGAAAGGGTCTGAGCTACCAAGCTACTGTCACAGCGTCAGCTGGCCAGAGCCACCTTGTGCTCTGCCACAGGGCTGCCCCACCTCACCCTGCCACGATTCACAGTGCAGGCAGCAATGCATTCTCAAAGACTGAGCTCCAGTTTCACTACTCCCAGCTCTGAAACCTTCACTGGCTCCCTACTGTAAGATCGATGAAGCCATAACTTCTTAGTCTGACGTTCAGCACCCTCTGGGAGCTGGCTCTAAACTATTAGTCTAGTCTCTTGCTCCAAGTCTCCAGTCAAACTGAACTACCTGTCCTGCCCTGGCTGGGGCTGCACACCCTCCAGGAAGCCCTCTGTGCTCTCCAGTTGAAAGCCACCTCCTATCTGGAACTGCCCCTACTCTTTTTACTTCTCAGAGGGAGGACAAGGATCACTTCCTCCCAGCAGTGGGGATCATCCTTGGCTGGTCTGGAAGTTCATGGGAAGAGAGACCTTGTCTAACCTCTCGCTGGCTCTGGGCATGCAAGTATGAGACCTGTTTACTGAGTGAAGGGTGGCTTCATCTGGGTGCATGCATCCCTAACCCCCCAAAGCCAAAGGAATCTTGGGGGTACCCTCTTCTTCCCTGGAAGCCACTAAGGAGAAGATTTCTGTTCAAGTAGGCACTGTGGGAGAGATCGCTGTGCCTGCCTTCTAGGCCCATCTGACATGAGAGAGAATCTCTAGCTTGACTACAGATCTCCTCCAAGGGTCTTAGAGAAGTTGCCTGAATGTGTCTCTGAGAGATGGGGGATAATCAGTGCTGCTGTAATGACTCTAGGATTTCAGTCTGAGTTTGTTGTGTAAATAGAAACTAACTCGAAAGGCTAGAAAGTAGGGAAACCACCTCACGCAGGGCTTTGCTGTCCCCTTCTTTGCAGCGTCTTCACCTCCTCCTGGTTCACTTCCCCAGGTTTCCCAGTGACATTCCAGGCTAAATCTCACCTGCAGTCAGGGCCCCCATGTTGGCCTCTGGCCAGCAGACCCTGACTGGCACTGGGTGTTCCTAGGCACTAGGGGTGGGTGGTAAAGGCAGACCTGAAGGAGAAAAAAGAGCTGGGGATGAGAGAGGGCTCTCAAAGGGCTGACTATCCCCTCAGGTATGCCCCGAGGTTGGTCCTGGGAGACCCCGGGTGGGGGAGAGAGGAAGCATGTATTAGACCAGAATGACCTCTTGAGGACCCCACAACTTTGTGAGGGATGCTCTTCATGCCCCTAGAGCTGAGGTCCAAGGGGGAAAACCTTCACCATCCTCCTTCTAAAACCAGCCACCAGCCCCTTGCACATCTCCATGGCTTTCTGGACCCTCCGTGCCTCTGGGAGTAAGCACCCAACTCCCAGTTCCCCTCTAGACCTAAGCAGGGAAGTGGGCACACTCCCAGCCTCCCACTCTCTTCCCCTCCCATGCCCTGGAGTCTGCCCCAGTGGACAGGCCCAGATTTGCTGTGTTTGGCTCAGCCTCCGAGTCGGAAACCACCCTCCCCCTCTCCCCAGCTGCTGAAGAGGGTAATTCATTCCCAGCCCTCTTCTCCAACCAGCAACTGAGGCCTCCAGGCAGGGAGGGGGAGGGCACCAGAGCCTCATTTTTAGGACCTCCCCTTTCTTCCTCTGAGCCTTATGGCTGTTGCTTCAGCTCCCTGGCAAAGAAACGCTTTCTTCTTGAGCCTGTTTACCTCCCAAGGGGGAGCTCTGGCCAAGCACCCTATGAAAGCTGCTCTGTTCTGGGCCTCCGGGGGCCCTGGCTCTCTTGCCTCAACTCTTTTCTGGGAAAATGTGACATCTCTGCCTCCTCCTGACTCTGAAACACCCTTCCGGGTGGGATGGAGGATGAGGAGAGGATTGTGGGAGAGAGAGGGGGAGAGTGAGTAGGGGGAGGGGGGCCTTCCTTCTGTTTGCTGAGGAGCCAGGACCCTCTCCTTGACTACATAACCTGGGGGCCGAGTCTCCAGGAGGGAAGGAAGGCCCTGGACCCTCCTGTCCGCACAGCACTGGCTGCTTCTGAGCAGCAGCAGGACCCCCTTCTCTTTCCTCCCTGCCACAGCACTGCCCAGCATGTGCCATGGCTCAGAGCTGCATGGCTCTGCTTGCCCCCAGGCTGCCACCTACCTGGGGCCCACGGTCACTTGCCTGCACGATGCTGTGGCCTTCGGGGACGTCCTCGGGGACACTGGCCTCATAGCTGCTCTGCAGGAAAATGGGCCGGTTGTCGTTCACATCCAGGACGGTGACAAACACGGTGGCAGTGCCCGTGTGCCGCTGGCCTACGGGGCCGTTGTCTGTGGAGGTGAAGGTGGATGGGCATGGGCTGTTAGCGCTGCCTGAGGGGCAAACTCCTAGGCACAGGCACATTCCTGGGCACCAGCCAGACATGTGCCCTGGTCACCCACCACCACAGCCTTTGCAAGGGTGGCTTGCTTCCTGCTCGGAGTAGGAATCATATCACCAGCAGCCCTAGGTTACAGGCGTTATCCTAACTCCTTCAGTCCTCACAAGCTGTGAAGTAGGTGCTATTATTATCAACCTGCTTTACAGAAGAGGTAACTGAGGCACCCAGGGGGTTGAATGGTCGCTCTCCCAAAGATACATCCTTGTCAAGTCCCTGGGAAGCTGCAAATGTCCATTTACTGGGAAAGGGTCTCTGAGGATGTGATTAAGTTAAGGATCCTACAATGAGGTCATCCTGGATTTCTCAGGCAGACCGTAAAGGTGAAAGCAAAGGAAGATTCGAGCCCGAGAGGACAAGGCCTTGTGAAGTTGAGGCCGAGGTTGGAGCACTGCACCCACTGCCAAGGAGCACCTAGAGCCACCCAGAGCCACCTAAAGCTGGACGAGTCAAGGAAGCCTTCTGCCCTCACGGAGGGAATGCAGCCCTCTAGCAACTTCATTTTGAACCTCTGGTCTTGACAGTCATAAGAGAATAAAGTTCTGTTCTTTTAAGCCACCAAGTTGGTGGTAATTTGTTAGTGCAGCCCAAGAAAACAGACACAGGTATGAGATCACAAAGCAACTGCCATTGCAGCCAGGTGGGTGAGGCCTGTAGGTGCACACCTGGGCGTGCCCACCTCAAAGGGCAGCTGCCCTCTGCTTCAGGCCACATAGGGCCAGTGATACTAGATCTTCCGATTTCTCAAGAGAAATGAACGTTTAACATTTAAATAAAATTTGATTTCCAAATGCTCACAACTCATTGTCATTTTTATGAAACGCTGGACATGCAAGCCCACATGCCTGTGCGTGGATTTGGCCTGCAGGCCCTCTGCACTCAACATAGGCCCTGCTTGATTTCCAAGCCTAAGGCATCCAGGTAGTCTGCCCCTTCCATTCCCTGCAGGACCCTCCCAGGGCCGGGAAGCAGCTCAGCCCCAGAGACAGGGTGGTTTGGTGAGACTCTATGGCTGCAGGCATTTTGTTTCAAAAGTTGCAACCAGGTCTCCTAACTGATCCAAAGGCATGGTCAGTTGCCATTTCCTCTCAGAAGTCTTCCTTGTCCTCCCTGGGGGAAGGAGCTATGTCCAGCTCTGCACATCCCAGCAAAGGCGGTCACCACGGGGAGGAGTACAAGCAGCTGGGGCTGGCTGAGGCCCAGGGGTGACTCCATCCTTTCCTCTAGGCCAGCTGGGCATATCCTGGGATGCAGAAACCAGCCCTATCATCTTGTCCTCTCGAGTTCCTCCCTAGGCCCAGCCTCCTGCCCACTCTGAGGATCCTGTTTACTTGTCCCAGCTGAGGATAAATGTGGACTGTTGGATCCCCCTCGAAGGCCGGAGCTTGAGCCCTCTTTTGCTAGCCAGTGCTCGAAGCAAAGTTTGAATTCAGGGGGGTTATGGGTCTCCAGAAGGTAATGGGGTAGCCCCAGGACAGGAGAGCAGGGTGGGCATCTGGGTGCGGGCGTGCTGGCAGGAAAGCAGGCTAGAGGGAGGCAGAGAGCACATTCCGCCCATCCCCCCTCTGGCC